AAAGAACAGGATTCAGGAAGACAGAAGATGACGATTGGATGTGACAGGGAGGCGAAGAAAGAAACTCTTAGAATATAAGAGGCCGTTGCATCTGGATAGATCAACAGTAAAACACTGAGACCTAAATGCCAATCTAGTAGTACATTTAAATGCATGCAGTGAAGGCAGCAAGGAGGAAAGCTCATAAGAACAATTGCCATGAAAATATTTGTAGAAAAGACAGAGGCAATGTGAGAATGTGATTGAGGTCGAGATGCCAGGTCAGGATCGACTACATTGCAGATCTTTCTTTCGATTTTGTCGAGAACCCCAAGATGAACGGCCTAGATACGAGACTAGATATGACAACAGTACTCAATGTACAGACGAACGTTAGAGTTGTAGATATGTAAGATAGACTCTGATGCGGAAAATCTTCTGGCACGTCACGGTGATCCAAGTTTCCTTGCAGTAGATGCAGCTATTGATTCAATGTAGGTGAAAGGTGAGGTGAGGTAAGTGAATGAAGTCTACATTACAGGCCCTTTGATGGATTTTGCTAACAATCTTGAAATATACAGTAGGCGAACAAACCAAATATGGCGGGCAGTATCCAATACACAGACGAATGTTGGATTTATAAATGTCAAGATGGATTCTGACGAGCAAAATTGTTTGCCACGAGACAGTGAACCAATTTTTCTAGACGTTGATCTAGCAATTGCTTCAATATAATCAATACACCTCATCTCAGTAACAGACGTGAGCCCAAGAACTTTCGAAGAGTTGCTCTCCAGGAACTTAGCATCAGCCATGCTGATGGCAGATAGAAAACGTTCTCTATGGTGATAAAATAGACGCGTTTTTATTGTGGAGGCGATAGAATTTACAAGCCATTCCTTGCCTCAGCTAAATATAGACTGGAGGTCATTTTCGAAAGCATCTGCAAGTTTGACTTTATCGTACCTGTCGGAATTCCTCGTAAAAGAAGTCTAAACAGTTGTGTCATCAACTTAAATACCTTTTTGGTAACTGATGTCATCGGAAAGGTTGTAGCAATAATCCATTTTTGGCTTAATCTTATTGGTATAAAGATAAGGCGTGGTAAACGTGTAACAATATGAGATCTGAAGATTTCGGATGACGATAAAAATACACTGAAGGGATTGAAAAGGATTAAAACGAAAATATCAATTCCCACGGCTAGAAGAAAAAGTGTATTCACTCACATCCGTAAGCGCTAGATAATTTCGTAGATGATAAGCAAGGCTTGAAACAATAGGTATTTTGATAATCTGTTGACATGATCAAACATTGGGAATTGTCAAACCCTGACGTCACTGGTATTATAATCACCGAACACTATGCGCGTGTTCAGGAAACTGGGGAATTCCCAATTTGCGTGGGTGCTGAAATTGGAAGGTCTCAGGTGTAGATTGAAACCGCCTCCAGGGAATCATTGTGGTCGGAATTGACAAGTCAGACTGAATCATGGCTGGCGAAGGTGTTTGGAAGAAACCCCTATTTATTTAGGGTTGCAGAAGTCGCCAGCGTGTTGGAGAGTTGGATCGGGTCAATGACAGTTTGCCAGTCAGTCGCACACCGTTGTCAGGAGAGATACGAAGAAAAGTCGCCAGGAAGAGTTGTGAATGAACAGTCATCAAAAGAAGACGTCAGAAATCAAACTCCACCGAATCGTAGCGGTCGCCAGCAATAATTACTTTGCCAGACAAAATTACAGATGACTTAACTAAACCAGTGAATAGTTCCTATACTGTTCCAAGTAATATTTACGCTCAGAACACCGACACTAGTGAATATTGCTGACGTCAAATTAAACGAAATTGTTACTGCTTATAAGAGCAATATTTATTCTGTTATCTACAGAAATGTGGCACAAGGCCGAAAAAGGGATTGGGGAAAGGACGGTCTTCTTCTGTCTTAACTATAACTTAGCTAGCCGCAAACACTGACCCAATCGTACAAAACAATATTCCTTACACCAAAACAACACATTCATACGTACCTTTCTTACTACAACCACCATAATACCTCTTTGTCTCTATGAAAATACTAGTCCCCATATTTACAATTGCTTATAAGAGCGCTAACATATCCTTTGGAAGAAGTTATTTATAATACTCTTGTGATTCGACTGGTACGGTTGATTTCATCTTGTTACAGAGATCTGGCAGATTTTGTCGGGTACATCGTTTTCCAGGATCCGAACTATACAACGTAGGCTGGGGAAAATCAGTAGAAGATAGTAAAATCGATTTTCAGTTGACACAAAGAGTAGAGATACAACCACACAGAATCAACGACCAGAAGTAATTAAAACCCTAGCGAAAGACATCAGGGTGTTATAACCTGGAATCACATGGACAAGTTTACGATTACTGGAGGAGTTGGTTATCTTGTAGAGTGATATAACGTCCCTATTGATAGGTATGTCCCAATCCGCATAGATACAGGGGGAAATACTGTGTGTGTTAGTCACTGGTCTTCCAAGGACACCTAG